AGATTTTTTCTCGGTCTTTTCCGATGGGATGAGTATCCAGGATGCCAAAACACCACTTCTCCAGATTTTAAAACGAACTTTCAATTACGAAAACAAGAACAAGGAAGGTAGAGATTAGGGACATGTAAAAACCCCGAAATAGATATACGTTGGAAACCTAATACTATGCTATAAAATTTTACATGTTACGTGAAATAGTTTAGGAAATGGAATAAGTATTTTAAACTCAAATCCTATGAAACTAAATAGGCGTTTTATTCTAATTTGAGATTTTTTCCGTCCTTGTGCACGAGTGTTATATTATCACATGGTGTTGAGATGATCTTGAGTAAGTTGCGTACAAAATTTTTTATACTAGCTCGGAAAATACCTGTATTTTACAAACTATATATAAAAGACTTATTTAGCCATACTTCAACACGAATTCATCTCGAAATAGACATTTAAAATACAAAAAATTGGTAAAATTCTTATATGTGGTGGTATCACTTTATAACATGTTTTACCATCCAATCAGAAAACAGAATTTTTTATTTTATGGGTTGTAAAAATAGTTTCAGCCAGTGTAGGTATACATCTTGGTACAAACCTTCAATGTCGGAAAATACGTATATTCGAGCATGTGTTCTGACAACATTTTTTTTTTTCTTTTAAATAATGACTTAAGATAAAAATAATTATAAGCAGTCATTTTTCTTACTTAAAAAAAAAAAAAAAAAATTTTACAACAACGCCATGCACTCTTGGGCAAACGTCATTTTATTAAAATAACATTCTTCAAGACCATCAGTCTCAAGTCAATGTGTAACTTAAAAATGAGCATGTACATTAAAATCAAATAATGAAAAAAAAAATAACACCTCAAAGTTATAACTTTCAAAAATTTCATACAGATAATTTTGTGCATGATCTGAGGAACACTTTATTATTTGTTGGTAGATATTGATGAACTATTAGAAAAGTGAATTGAAAACAGCGTTCCTCTTTAGATATTATTCCAAATAATTTAGAGTGGAAGTTAAAGAAATAAACTTGGTAATGAGAGTATTATCTAAAGAATAAGTTTATTCTATTTTTTCTTTCACGTCATGTTAACAGTAAGAATAAGGTAAATCACGGACATAAGAGTGGAATAGAATTAACAAGAAATCTAAAAACTATTTCGATCTACAATTAATGAGTGAGTTTAATAAAAAAATAGTTCAACTATGTAGCTTTAATTTTTTTTTCCATTAAAAAATAATAAAAAATTCAATATAAACATGTGTACTCTCAAAATCTCATAACCGTGATTTAAAAATGAAGTTATTCATTTGTAGAAAGGGGGCATGATTCATTCAAATTGACCCAAACATCGCATACTCTGACACTACAGGACCACTACGTGGACAAACCATATGTATACATCCACACGAAATTTGTACTTACTTCAACTTGGTGCTACAGTATATTCATGTACTTTTCTAATCAAAATTTTGGTGAAACATGATAGTTTTTAATTATACATGGAGAGTAGCGTAAACTTATACTTATAGGATATATGATGACACATGAAAAATTATACGTAAATATTCTTCTGAAGTCCAGGAAACAAGGAGATCTTTGATGTTTTTAATAGTCACCATTACATAGAGTTCTAATACATTTTCTTCAAGAACCTATAACCACAACAATCAGTGTTTCACTAATGTTCCGTGGCTAGTTATTGCGTTGTCCCACCTTCAGGTATTTTACTTTAACAAAAATAACATCTTACTGTGCAGTGTATAGCACATTCCCTTAACTTATAATACTGTACCAACCACTAACGTCTTCTTTTAAGCGCTGATACTTTCATTTTCAAATGTTTCCATCCTTTGCACTTGAACAAAAGAACTAGTGAAGTGAACTTCACTTTAGTTTGGAATTCCAAAAGACTGGTGAACTATATCTCTGAAATAATTCCTGCATCCAACAAAGGCTTTAAAAAATTCTTATTTGATTAGAAAATTCAGTGAATGTCGATTTTGAAAGCCCAGACTACATATATATGATCTTTGAATTCCGATCATGCGTCGAAGAATGAATTGGGATAACGGAAGTATCCAAGGTCGAAAGCTTAAAACTGTGTTTTAAGGAGACGCTGATGGAAGCAATAGATCCTGTTCATTGTGAATAGTATACCGCATAGCGCATCTCCTGTATAGGTACTACCGCTACCACTCACTACTACTATGCTATTACTATTAATACTACTACTACCACTACTACTACTACTACTACTACTACTACTACTACTACTACTACTACTACTACTACTACTACTACTACTACTACTACTACTACTACTACTACTACTACTACTACTACTACTACTACTACTACTACTATTACCTGCTGCCGCTGCTACTGCTACAATCACTATACTAGATCTAGCATCCAAATGGGAGACCTCTGACCATAGGTACCGTACATCTCTAAGTCTCTATAACTTAGTGTTTATTTAATTGGACTGAGAGAGATTAATTCTCTATGTAGTTTACCTCTATGTAGTTACAAATTTTCTTTATGATAGTGATCTTCAATAACAATCAATCATTCGCATATCGATCCACTGAAGCTAAGAGTGTGCTGACATCTAGGATTTTGGACGTAAGCTTTCATTTACTCATATGATATTCACTTTGATTCACTTCAGATGGTAAGTCGCACAAGATACAACGTTTTGATCACAGGAAATCGCTATAATTCATATGGAAAACTACACTCAAAAAGTACTTATCAGTAGATTTTTTCAGTCTTCAAGGATGTAATTATTTCCACTGAGTGTTGATATTTAATGATGGTGTCTAATTTTTAGATAGAACACACTATTAAGTAATCTCTATATAAAAACTCACCAGTTTAATGTTAAAAGCCAGCATTTATTAAAACCGAATAAAACGTAAGTAATTATTGTCCATGCACATATTGAAAATTATTTTACTTTTAAAACAGCTTATAAAAATAAAACGTTTAAAAGACTTTTTTAAAAGACTAACTTAAAAATTTTTTAAAACTTGTATCTCCTTCAAAATTGTCCAGGAATTTCAAGTCATTGTAATAAATTTTTTTTTTTCGTTTTGTTACTATTGTTCCTTTTTTGTCTATTTATATATGAAAAAAAGTTTAGTACGAATTGAAAATAAGGTTTCCGTAAAACATTTTAGAAATATTTTTTACAGTATCGGCGATTGAAATGTCATTTTGTCTAAATGTATACCTAAAGGTGTATGTACATAATCAGTCATATCTTGAAAACTCAATGACCCATTTTAATTATCCAGGGTTTAAATTTTTGTTTTTTTATTCTTATAGGAGCTGAAAAGTAAAAATTCAGTTCTCTGCCTTGTTATGGTTGTTATAACGGTTCGTTTTTAGAAAATTTTATTTTGTATTTTTAAAAGAATTGTATCCAAAGTTAAGTTAGCATAAAAATAGATGTATTTTTATTTCTAATCACTGTGATCGGTGTAGTCGTACATTTTTACTAACGAATAACTGTAATTACAAAAGATTATCTTAAATAAGAAAAAATTTACTTTTTACTATTTAATAAAAAATAACATAAAAAACACACCTTTCTCATGTTTTTTGTTCAAAATCAGCAGTTTAAGAAAATTCCACAAGTTAAACGATATTTAATATGGATGTTTATGCCATTCCCAACAAACTATTACTTTAGGGTCTCAATGTAAGTGCCTTTTTGTTGGATTAGAAAAGATTACGTAAAAAAAAAAATCATCCGAAAATACGTGCTGCTGCGCAGCTGAATACCATGCTTTTTTACTAAATTGCTTCTCAAAATTTTACTTTCAACATTTTGAACTAAAGTTTTTCAAAGGTAACCACATAATGTGATGATAAGAAATTTTTGTCTTTCAAAAATGTGCAACACACTGTTATTCTAAGGTTAAAATTATTTTTGGCAACACGATCCGCTTTTTCATAACAATTTTGATAAATAAGACAATCTAAGGAACGTATGTAAATTTTTTATGCCTGATTCATTCAGTAGTTTATGAGTATTAGCGAGTTAAAAGTGATTTTGTGATAAGCACCCAAGAATATGTTACAAGTACAGTAATAACACAGTCGTTCGCTGGAGCCTTCTTAAGAGCAGTAGTGCTAAGTTTAAAGTCGATTTCATCATTCATTAGGCAAGACTTTAATCACAATTTTTTTTTCAATTTTACAGTGGAATGGAATAAAAACTTATGGAAACGGATAAAAATTAGCTAATAAATATTTCCTAGAGTAAATCGAGCTTCAATGTTAAAAGATAAGAGAATTGATTTGAATATAACGAGGTACATGGACATATTTATGGTAGTACCTAAAGGGTGGTGTAGAAAGCTGTACTTTGCTTCTAATTTTTGGAAATTAAAGTACTCTAAAAATTAAAAAAAAACTAAATAGTAAATTTGTAATTTAAGCATTCTTTGTATTCATCCGTGAGTCATACAGAACAAGTCATCTATTTGAGAGAAAAAGTAAAGACTTTGTGGCACAAAAATTGAGAAAAACCAGTAACTAAGAATTCACTTGTAGTCTTATACGACTATCTCAAAAAAAATTGACTTTCTACGTTTTTGCTCAACAAATAAAAGTTTGTTAAAGAAAAATCTTTTATTTAAGTTTTTTTTTTCGAGTATCTGAATCTAGTAACCTGATTTTTCTTAAAACTTTAAACTCACTCTTTCTTGCCCACAACTATACATGTATTTTTACCTGCTATTCTGCACATGCACATACATCAGCTTCATAAGACCGGTTTTTGCGTTTGTGAAAGCGGATTCTGATGGTGTAAGCATTAAGAGGTAAAAGGGTGGTCCAAGTAAAATAGACATACTTAGTGAGTATGCATATTTGTGCACTTTTTTGACATTTTTTGTTGCTATTGACAATGTATTTTTTCAGGGTTAAAGAGACTTATCAAACAAAATGAAGTTTGTAAAATATTTTTTTTAATAATGTCTTACCAAACAATGCCGTTACTCCAGCTGAACATCCTTCGAATCCTTTCGCGTTGCAACTCTTCTTCCTTAGTCGGCATTATTATCTTTTTGATCAACTATGCGTTATAAACGTGCACAACACAACAGGTATCAGTTTATCGAACTCTCCGTTTTACAATTGGCCTGTAAAATTTAATCATACTGTGTTCTCCCTTTTTTTTCTTCCAAAAGTTTGATAGTTTATTCACACTTTAAACTCAAAGTTTTTCAAATAAAAAATAAGGTTGTCAACAATATTTTTCAAGTCAGTATCTTTTTAAAAAGCCCCACTCTTTTACTGTGGAGAATAAACAATTGAAAAACTGCGAAGATTATTTAGTGATGAAAGGAGTTATGGTTCTGTTCTTCGGGATTTGCAGTCATTTGAGAATTTCAAAGAATTTGAGTTTCTTTTTCATTTTTCATACTTTTTTCATATTATATTCCAAATTATACTCTTTGTTTTTAAGAAGTAATCGTTTATCGATATCATCCATCGAATCCAAGCACATATGGTAAAATTCTAATAAATCATGGTACCGGGACTAAAACTAATTTTTTTTCTCAACTGAAAATTCTACATTTTAAAGTATTTATCAGTTTTTTTAGGAATTACGTCTTTGCCTAAATTATGTGAATAAGATTGTCACTGAACGATTTTTACTTGTCTTTGTCTCAATAAATTTTTTACGGAAATCGACCAGTACTTAAGTGGAAAAGCAAGTCCGAATGATAAATCAGTATATATTACTCACGAAAGACCTCTCATCTGTAAAGTTTTATTTTTATTCATTTATTTATTTTTTCATTCAAATCCCTTTAGTTTCTTACGTATACACATTATAGAAAACACTATGTGTCATGGGTACGATACCACTCACATCCATTCATATCCGCATACATTCACAGAAACCACATTTTTGCTTCAGTGTTTACATATGACCTAGAATTTGTAATCGACGCGAGCGTGAGATTCATCCCACTGATTATGATGTACTCAACTATGCGCTTTTATTATTTGCCTGCGAGATTTTTCAAGGTAACATACAATAAGGCGCACACAAGGCATTGTGTCATTTCGAAATAATTTTTAGTGGAACTGAAGTAAATTTGCGACACTGTTATCATTGAGGTGCTTGGTTTTTTAATTATTTTTTAAAAATATCTTTGTTTGTTTGCAACTAATTAAGATGGTTTTATTTAGTTTTCACAATTTTTAATGAATACTATGAATGTCTTCCAAATAATTTCTCTCCCAATTTGGCAAAATTCTAAGAGAGCTACGCAATTTTTAAATCTTAGAGACAAGCACAATTAAACGAAGGTCACGCTAATTACACTCCTTGACCATTTCCGTTCTTTTGTCTTGTTCAATCTACACAATATGACGTATTTCTTTATTCTTATTTGAAAAATTGTCACTTTAAAGTACGTGGGAGCTTTTTAAAGAAATATTTATGAGTTTAAGTCAGAAATGTCATATAAATATTTTGAACATTATCTAATTATGTAGGAACAACAAAAGATTACGATTGAAGTTGAAAGCAGATGGATTTTTAAGTTAAAAAATATATTAAGATCATTATTTTCATTTATTTGATAAATTGGAAAAAGTGCCAAAAATGTTATATTTTTTTTGTGGGTACCAATTACTTGAAACTGTTGATTATTTTTACTTTTTAAAAACCAAACAAAAAATTTATTTGATAAGTCGACGAAAGTAAGATACTTTGTCTAAAAATACTGAATCTACAAAAAAAAACAAAAAAAATTAATAAATAATAATACAAAGTAAAAAAGGCGCTTTTTGTAATAGTCGTTGAAGAGGTCAACGAGACCCGACGAAACGTCAGATATTAAAAAATAAAGAATGTTGCTCTCTTTTTTACCGAGTTTTTTTGTCTTTATTTTAAGAAAAAAAATTGACGCGTAAGAAAGAAAAATGAACAAAAGTTTGATATTGCTATTAAAGCACCTAAAATCTTTTTTTTTTTTTTTTCAAGTAACAAAAAGAGATACAAAACCCAACATCTGTATTCTACACAACCAGTGATGCATGAAGCATTATAAACAAAAACAAATATAATCGTCCAACATATATCTATTACACTCTTACGCTACAGAAGAACTGTCCTCTGTCCAGCTCGCGAGATTAGTCCTTTTTAACACACATTGGTACATGAACAAATATATCTTAAGTCTGGTGTTTATCTTGCTATGCTGAGTAAGTGTGATAAATGGGAGTGAGGTGTGAAAAGTGGTTAGTACAATGCATGATACAGAAGGTGCAGGTGTGTAGTGTTAAACGCAGCCCGAGCTATACCGCATAAAAGTGATTCTCACACTGAAAGGAACAGCGCTTGGCATCCATGTAGCGACCATGCCCGCGACTGTTGGACCTGACACGGGAGCTACTTAGATCCCACCACCGACCACGCATAGTGTGGTACTTGGCAGCCATTCTCACACGCGTATGAGTAGACTTACTAAGGAAGAAGAATATGGCTCTTTTTAGTTCTCCTTTCTCTCACTCGTTAAAGGGTACCTGAGGCCAATAGCAACTCGTCGTGTCATGCATACATCGCACGAAGCTCCGTAATTGTCCCTGCGAAAGGTGTGTCTTCCTATAATTCAAAACACTTCTCCACTTTTGCGCTTGTATGTCATACATTTTTCAGTGACGATGTTTTTACTTTACCTGCAGTATCTACGTGAAAAAAATTTATTAGCACAACATTCATATTTTATTGATTTAAGTGTTAAAATTATATTTAATATAATTATAATGAACACAAAAATATTTAAAAAAACTTTTCGATACAAACAAACCATATTCAACATAAAACTAATTTTTTTTAAAGACACATCTCTTGACGAGCTAATTAAAATTTTTCTTTACATAATAATAGATAGGGGATAAAGTTAAAATTTTCTAATCAATTGAAACTGAAACAAAAAAAATACTTATGCTGAGAATATAACTGATAATTACTCTACAAGCCCAAAAAATAATTTTCCATTGCACAAAAAAAATAATTTTGGATAGAGTCGCCAGTGTGAAGCGTCCGTACCATCTCAGTGCATCAGGTGTAGAAAATCAGCCTTGGAGACATTTTTTAGCCTTGAGTATTAAGTGCAAACACTTTTACCTGCATACCGAGAAAAGATAAAAAAAGACCGGTCCAGCTGCAATGTAGCTTTTCACACGTAAATTGTTTCTCTCCTGGCGGAGTTTCATACATGTTCAATACATGTTTATTACTCCTTTGAGTATACTTGAGTATACATGAATATAAGAAAAGAAGTCTCGTTCTCACTTCCATCCTCCGGCTTTTGCTTTTATTGAAGGTAAAGGTACGAGTTTGTACTCGAAATTCCTATGAAGCTAATTACCTACTGAGCTGTTCATTATTTTTTTCATTTTCTCATTGCTTGACGCACACACTTTGCTTTTCCTACCTTATAGCTAATTATAAATAATAATTATCTCTTGGTTAATCGTTGAAAACGTAGCTTGATATTTGCAATGTGTCTGGCTGCCTTTCTTTTATCGGCACATACTTTTTTAACGAGTGATGGTGACCGCTCACTCTTATGCAGTTACATTATATGTACAGTTTCGACACATGCATCCTTTTTTTTGTACTTTTGAAGGACGTACAGGACATATCTATTATAGCTCTCAGTTTGTGAAAGGATTATAATTTTTTTTTTTGCGTATACAGCTTTCATAATTAATTTCTAATAATATTTTTGGTTAAAAAATGCACTTGCACGTTTCGTACATGAGAAAGTATAAATGTATGTTGATTTAAAAAAATTTTTTAAGACTAGGAGATCTCAGCTTCCTGCACGCTTCATGACCTGAACTATAGATCTAATCTGAATATCAAATATAGTTATTTTTTGAAAATATTCTAGAATTAATTGAGTAAGCAATCAGTTTGTTAAAACTATTAATTTTTTTTTTTAATCTAACCAAAAAGTTAAAACTTATTTTTCAACATTTGGCAGAAAAATACTTTTAAATACATTTTCTTTGAACAAACTTAAACTCACAATATTTCGAATGAATAGACTTTATCAAGTGACTATTTCACTTTTTTTTTTAATAAAATATTTGTGCAAATTCCGACTTCACTGTGAAGTGTAGAACTCGTTTCCGTAAATTCTTATTCTGGCAATTCCTCCATCCGGCATTATTACAACTCGCACGTGATTGATTGGCTTCTGTTTTATCTCTTTCAACAGTGTAACTAATCCGTTGCTCCTATTAGGATCCAGCTAAAAAGAATGAAAAATCACATGTACGGGGAAAAATTAACGGTGAAACACAGCGTATATAATAGAAGATTTCTACCTTTCTTCGAGACAACATCGTTTCCCAAACCATAGTTTTCGTATCTTCATCTGCTGCAGCACAAGCTCCATCAATTCTCACGCTGTTTGGGCAATTTCCCTTGAAGTGCGTAGTGTCAACCTCTATAGAGCTCACCACAATCGTCTTATCTAGTTGTAGCACCGCCCATTCCTCGCCACCATACTGCAACATATTTAGATCAGAACCGAAGTTGGATCACTTGATTTTAATTATTTTCGTCGTGAAAAATATAAATCTTTACATTTACGAAACCATTGTCATCAATATCAATTATGGCTGGCCTATCAAGTCTTCTTGAAGTCTCCCAACCATCTTTCATTCCAGTGGTCGGTTCAAGTTTCAACAGATTGTTTGGGTGTCCGAAGTACGCGTCACTAAACTCGACACACTTACCCTGTACAGGCTGTTTTTTTGCCTCGGAATTTCGGTCCACTTGCGCAAGGCCAAAACCATATATTCTCAATCGAGCTATACCACCATCACGAAAGATGTTGAATCTCAGGTGAGTAAAGAGTTGATCGCCAGTCTGGTCCACCTTGATGTAGTGCTTGCGCGTCTTTGGTTGTCCCGGATGCAGTTTGGTCATTGGCACGACTGTATCCCAATTCTAAATTTGTACATAATTATTCGAATATATTATATCGTCAACTCATATTTCAGTAAATTAACAAAACAAAATAAAGTAATAAAAAACAGAACTCAAGGAAATGGTTACTTCCTGTACATTTTTAAGCTCTCAAACTTAATTTGATGTCTAAAAATATTAAAAAATGACTACCAAAAGAAAGGAAAGTAAGTATTTAGCTTGAATTTATTAATTGTGAAGTATAAATATGAGCCGTTTCACGTCAACTTTCCAAGCATCACACACTATCACCAAAACATATAGTACTTTTCACTTCACGATTATAACATTAAAACTAAATTATAAAATATATTAAAAGTACAATTGCAATGTATTTTTTCCTTCGCTTTCGAATGCAGTAATCGGTTCTTTCGAAAAATGAGTTCTTACCTTTAAAAAAAATTTTAAACATGTTATATCTTAAAACTGGTTTTTCTAACATTTTTTTTGATAGTCTAGATAAGAAAAACTGATTCTTCTTTTACATCGAAATCACTTTTTTTCACAAACAGGTGCCGCGCTACGAGTCGTCGGCTTCGGTCACGACATACCTGTAGTTTAATCATCGTATGTGCGATAATGATAAGGTACAAAGGAAGAGGTGAAGAAAAATATTAAAGTAATTATATTATTCTATATAATTTAACACATTCTACCATAGTCGTATACGAATATCAAAAAATTATCGTAAAATATCGAAAAAAAAAATTACGATCCACAAAAAGGTCTATTACTTTACTGATGGAGCTGATGGTTAACATTTTAAAAACAAAAGCAATTTTCAAAATCTTTTACAGTATGAAGCAGATTTCAGAGTTTCAGCCAAATGGTTTTTTTGCTATTTCTCATGGCAAGGGTGCCTGTGCCAATAGCATTGGTACTAATTTAAAACGAGCTGCGAAAAGAGCGAGTTTGCAGCTGACTTCTAATAAACATATTATGTCTGCTGAAGCTTTGTATAACTAACCAAAAAATAAATGTAAGGAAACCGAGATTTTCTCAGATAAAACTAAGATAATGAGCGAACTTGTTCAAACTTAAAATCTAGGCTGAAAAATGCAAAGTCATTCCAGGTACATTCAATTGTTACAACTAATAAAAATTAACTTGTACTTGAAAATACATCGTCAGCTACCACACACAAAATTTTTTTAAAGGTAAAAAAAGAAACGCTGAAACGATGAAAAATATAAAAAAGACAAAATCTGTAAGAGTATTCGCTGTGTGCATAACATTGGAACAGCGCCCTCATCGTAACTAAATGAAAGATTGTGCGTGGTATTAGTATATCTATATATGTACGACTATATAACATACATCAGTTGAATATATAGATATACTAAAATCACGCACAATCAATCGTTTAGTTCTGATGAGGGCGCTGTTCTAATATTATGCACACAGCGAATAGAGAGGTATAAAACTACATTTATATTTTCAAGCAGTCATTAGAACAAGAAAATAAAAATTTTGAGTAATAAATAATGAAAATGATTTGGCACGTTTTCGTTATGCCATAAAAAACAAATAATATTCATTTTTCATTTAACCATTCTTTACATTTCCTATGACTTTATAATAAGTAGAAGCGAAATATGAATAGAACAACATGTACGTTGTAATAACACTTCAAAGTTTCAGACTAAGAAATTAATTTATAAAAAATTATTAATTTGCAAATCTGTACAGTGCTTTGTTTAAAGTAAATTCATATCTATTTTTGCTGTAATTTTTAAATTGATATAGTTTTTTAAATCCAAATCTCTCTGTATGTAGGTAACTTGGTGACAAAGTTTGGCAGTCGTTAAATTTCTCTTGGAGCATGTATCCTAAGTGAAGATACAAGCAAAAACTAAATAAAAAATACCATTTCAAAAATTCTTAAGGAAACAAATAAAGCTTATTGGCCAGGTGCTAGTGATGGCAGGGGATAGATGAGTCGACGCCAGCGTGCGTAGTGGCAAAAACAGGAAACCTGGGGTACCAAATTACTATCATTTTTGCTTAATTAAGGAAAAAATAACAGTATCTCATCAAATTTACAGATGTTATTATCACGTATGCATAAATGGTATCAATATTATGAAATTGCAGTTACACAAATGTAAAAAAATGAACATGTGGTGCCAAGAACGGTTGTAAAATGTTTGAATGTAACAATATATTATTATGAAGCCTCGTTAGTTTTTGATCCAGAGCACTCTCTCAGAAACAGACGGCAAAAAAAAAGATAATTACGCAAAATCAGACATGATCATTGTGATTTCCATTATTAAAACGTAATTGTGATTAAAGGTAGTTTTAATGTGCATTGCAACTTAGACAATTTTCAAAATAATCTGAATAAAACGTACATGCAGGTTAACTTTTTAAGGAGCTGAAGTAACCGAGGTCTGCCTTATTACGACGGCACTTGTCAAATTTTTAACTTCATCACTTTGCAATTCTGTAACATCGCACACATGACTACTTTCAACCAACTGTTTACCTTTTTTTAAGGCTTCAGAATTAAAACAAGTCGAGTGTGTTACATTCCTAAAGCCTATGATAACATCCATCATCAGATAAATAAATACACTAATTTTTTTCTAATTAATTAATTATTCCTAAAAGTGTGCATCGGTGTATGCTGTTGACGTATAATGTGGGTATGTGGGTACCCGCGGTTGTACGATTTTAACACCAAGAGTGGCGCTGCATGACATGCACCTGGCCAATAGGTAAAAAGCTGCGTTAGCCTAGTAGTAAGCTTGATAGGTACCTATTCAACGACGTTTGAGTGTCGAGTGCTCGATTTCCGGTAATTGCAGATTTTTTCAAAAACTGTTTTCACCGGAAAAAGTTCCTATGCAACCCTATGGCGGTTTCGGGGCAGGTTTTTCCATGGAATTTTCCTTCAGAGTAATTCCAGGATTTTTTCCTAGCCCCACATGCCTTCAGGCTTGGGTTAATGCAACACAGTGTTAGAGTGCGTTCAGACGCTACGTCAATAGCAGTCTGCAATCCATTTGAATGCATGGGTACGAGAGAGAAGAAGGATCATTCGTCCTCTCTCTTGTACCCGTGCATTCAAATAGATTGCAGAAAGAATTGGCGTTGCGTCTGAACGCACCTTAGGGCTATATAGGTAGAAATGAGCGGATCCGATGAAAAGCGCTAGGCAGAGATAGCCAGCCTTGCTGGCGAGAAGTGATCTGGCAGGGGGTGCCAAAGTCTTATCCGAGGAAAGACTACACAGTGGCAAGTGGATCTGATGCACTATTGCACAGTGGGCCTAAACTGTTTTTTTTTTGTTCAAAAATGTCTAGAGACCACAATTTCTGACCTAGTTGGATATTTTTTTTTTATTTTCAAGGCGAGATGATTTACAAGACATCTGTCGAGGCCAACATTAAATTTCCGACTTTAAATTTGATTGACCTAACCTCAAATGTTAGAAATAAGCAAAACCTGCTAAAAAACACAATTATTTTAATGGATAAGTCTCATTTTACAGAGTGAAATTTGGCAATAATGATCATATATTATACTCTAAGATATTTTATGCCAAATGCATTATCATAATAACTCAATTCAAGATGGCATATCCAATATGGCGAACCGAAATCTGATCAAATGCTTAAATTTAGACCAAAATCCCTACTCAGAGGGAATTCAAGGTCGAATAGATGACAAATCTGGAATCACGATTTCCGAATTCAGGATGGCGGATCCAATATGGTGAGCCAACATATTATTAAGTACCCGAATCTCGACAAACATTCATACTCAGGGGTTATTGGGGCCTCTGATTACGAATCTATGGTTACAATTTGAAAATTCCAGATGGCGGATGCAATATTGAAGACTATTGCAAACTTACTATACGTCAACAGAGGCAGAGATAACCTCAAAACTAATGTAAGCAAAACGATTTTCTTTAGTTTAAATTAGTAACAGTTAGAAATTTGCTATTTTTCTCACGTAAGTTGTATAACAAAATTGAACCGTACAGTTTATTGTATATTGTAAGAGTTACAAAGGAAGCCTAACTACAATTATCGTGAATTTTTTTTTTTCATCTTCCAATTCATGAAAATACACAAAAAAAATCTTGAAATTCATTATAACCAACGTTTGTGATAAAATATTATAAAATAGTTTGAAGTAGATGATAATACTGATATAACACTGAAAATATAGTTCCATGGTAAAATTTTATTTTCTTCAACTTATAATAGTTCCATAATTGTACGGTGAATACGGAATGTATCACGTTACTGTAACCTGCATACTACCTATTGGACAGCTGGCTTCCACCACGCGAACGTTATACAATATGTTTTATGTTGGCCCGTCAATATTTTAAAGTTATAGCAGAACATGACCTGAATGTCGTATACCTTTGAGTAATGTAGCATTTTCTCTTTAATTTTTCGAACGAATTTCTTTATGTCACGTGCTTGGGGGGTTGGAATTTTTAAAACGACATATTTTCATTAAACGGAAGTCGCTTACTGGAATCTCTTCCTCCTGAAGAAAAAAAAAAAAAAAAAAAAAACATGGTCGTACT